AAAATGGAAATTTAAATTAAAATAAGACATATTTCTCAGTTCTGCATTTAATAATCTCTACACAGCAAGTGTGAATGAAGAAACATAACTCCATGAGGATTAATTATTATTAAAATGCTCAATATGTATAGGATTTCACTTAATTCATGCTATAATACAAATATTGCAAGGAGGGAATTATGATTTTAAAGCTAAACCTTTGCAAAATGTTTTGTGCTGAGATCACAACTTTAATAGTAGTAATAGAATATAAAACCACTAGACAAAAAGTATAAATTAGTATAAAGTAGATTCCTCAGGATAATTAACATTTTCACACTTTCCATCTAACTAATTTCTAGCCAGCCTCAGACAAATCTGCGGGTTATTATTTTTTTTTTTGTTTTTTAATTTTTCACTTTTTAATTTCACGAAGACAGCATTCCCTATGCCATTTTGGCAACGCACCACACATATTTGCATTCTGTGGTATTATATCTGCATCTGCTTTTATTTAGATTTCAAGAGCAATGGCAAAGTCAGGAGTCTGCAGTATTTTTTTATTTTTTTTTACATTCTTTATTTTTGTTACATCTTGGTGGTATTACAACTTTAACAATGGTAATTGACACATTTTAACAAACTTCAATAAACTCGTATACAGTTCAGGATTTTCAAGAACCTGGACATGTCAGTAGGGTAGGGTTGGTCTTTTCAGTGGGGTTCAGTCGGGATCCCTGGGAAAGTCAGGGTGAGTTCTTGGTATGGGCTTGCTGGTGGGGGTAGTACTTGTGCTTACTGAGTTAACGAATGGTTGGCCCAGAGTCTGTGTAGACCTGTGTGTTGCTGGGTACCCGCCGTTTAGTGCTTTCAGCGGTGTGTCACCTCTGTCTACGCGGGGTTGAGATGGGGGTCATCGTGATATTAGGCTATGTGGCACTTCTCCGGTCGGGTGTGTCTCCCAGCATCACGTCGGGGGGCATGGGCCCTTTATGCGAGTGTTCCCCCTGGTAGCCAGCCCCAGTCAGTTGCTATTCCTTGGTGTCACCTGTTATAGTTTGGGGCGCCGGAGCTGGGCTTTGTTGTACCCTTCCCCCGGGGGGGGGGGGGGAAGAGCGTTGGGGTCCCCGGGTATTCGGTGGCCGTTCTCCATTGGGTTAGCTCATGTGGGTATTGTGTCTACTGGTCTTGGTGTCCTGTGTGCGGAGTCGAGGTCACGCCTAGCCGTGCCTACCTCAGTCCCCACCTCCGTCACCCGTGCCTGCATCAGGCCGCTTGTGTGTAGGTGTATCCGTGTATGGCCTTGTCTCCTCTCAGCTCTCTCTCCCCCGTGCCCCGACCCCCATTCGACTGCGTGGTCAGGAGTCTGCAGCATTGTATTTGAATGCCAAATTACCAATTGTTGCTTGTGAAGGCAATTAGCCCACAATAATTACATTATTATCCTTTATTGTGTATTCTGTTCTTCATAGGTGGACTGTATATCCATTTGTTTCTTCCAAATTGTTTAACTATATTACAGTATTTAGGAAAAGAATCCTGGGAGAAGTCACCTCTCTTTTTGTCCTAAATAAATATATTCATATAGTCAACACCACTGTGTTCAATATATTCATATTGGACACAGTGGTGTTGACAGAGTTAATTATAATTTAAGGAAATATATCAATCAGAGTTTTGGCACTATATATTTTTTTGTTGTTCTTTTGTGTTAATTGCACAAATTATATATATATATTTTTTATAGCAAGCAGACATACAGGTGATACTCGAAAAATTTGAATATCGTGCAAAAGTTCATTTATTTCAGTAATGCAACGTTAAAGGGGATGCATTACATGCAAAGCAAGATAGTTCAAGCCATGATTTGTCATAGGTGCGATGATTATGGCTTACAGCTCATGAAAACCCCAAATCCACAATCTCAGTAAATTAGAATATTGTGAAAAGGTTCAATATTCTAGGCTCACAGTGTCCCACTCTAATCAGCTAAGTAAACCATAACACCTGCAAAGAGTTTCTGAGCCTTTAAATGGTCTCTCAGTCTGGTTCAGTAGGAATCACAATCATGGGGAAGACTGCTGACCTGACAGTCGTGCAGAAAACCATCATTGACACCCTCCATAAAGAGGGAAAGCCTCAAAAGGTAATTGCGAAGGAAGTTGGATGTTCCCAAAGTGCTGTATCAAAGCACATTAATAGAAAGTTATGTGGAAGGGGAAAGTGTGGAAGAAAAAGCTACACAAGCAGCAGGGATGACTGAAGCCTGGAGAGGATTGTCAGGAAAAGGCCATTCAAAAGTGTTGGGGACATTCACAAGGAGTGGACTGAGGCTGGAGTCAGTGCATCAAGAGCCACCACACACAGACGGATCCTGGACATGGGCTTCAGATGTCGTATTCCTCTTGTCAAGCCGCTCCTGAACAACAAACAACATCAGAAGCGTCTTACTTGGGCTGAAGAAAAACAGACCTGGTCTGTTGCTCAATGGTCCAAAGTCTTCTTTTCTGATGAGAGCAACTTTTGCATCTCATTTGGAAACCAAGGACCCAGAGTCTGGAGGAAGAATGGAGAGGCACACACTGCAAGATGCTTGAAGTCCAGTGTGAAGTTTCCACAGTCTGTGTTGATTTGGGAAGCCATGTCATCTGCTGGTGTTGGTCCACTGTGTTTTATTAAGTCCAGGGTCAACGCAGCCGTCTACCACGAGATTTTGGAGCACTTCATGATTCTTTCCGCAGACGAGCTTTATGGGGATGCTGACTTCATTTTCCAGCAGGTTCAATGACCGTGAGCTTACTGTGCATGATTGGCCAGCAAACTCGCCTGACCTGAACCCCATAGAGAATCTAGGGGGCATTGCCAAGAGAAAGATGAGAGACATGAGACCGAACAATGCAGAAGAGCTGACGGCTGCTATTGAAGCATCCTGGTCTTCCATAACACCTCAGCAGTGCCACAGGCTGATAGCTTCCATGCCACGCCACATTGAGGCTGCAAAAGGGGCCCAAACAAAGTACTGAGTCCATATTCATGCTTATACTTTTCAGAGGTCCGATGTTGTTCTATGTTATGTACACTCCTTGTTTTATTGAATGCATGTAATATTCTAATTTACTGAGATTGTGGATTTGGGGTTTTCATGAGCTGTAAGCCATAATCATCGCACTTATGACAAATCACGGCTTGAACTATGTTACTTTGCATGTAATGCATCTATCTTATATATTAGTTTCCCCTTTTACGTTGCATTACTGAAATAAATGAACTTTTGCACGATATTCTAATTTTTCGAGTATCACCTGTGTGTATGTGTGTATATATATATATATATATATATATAAAATCATGTGATATATATATAAGATAAAAGATGTAAAATCTATACAGGAAAATGTGTCAAAACTACACATTGCATCTGCCGGTGTCATTATAGTCACAATTAAAGGACCACTACAGTGCCAGGAAAACAAACTTGTTTTCCTGGCACTATGGGGTCTTTAGGGTCCCCCCACCCTCTGGGTCCCACTCTTGCCGAGCTGAAGGGGGAGGAAAAGGTTAATCACTTACCTTTCTCCAGCACCGGGCTCCCTCTGCGCTGGGGAAATCTCCTCCCTCTTCTGACGTCATCCGCCTAATGCGCATGCGCGGCAAGAGCCGCGCGCGCATTCAATCAGTCCATAGGAAAGCATTTCTCAATGCTTTCCTATGGATGTCAGCGTCTTCTCACTGTGATTTTCAAACATAGCAGTTTCTCTGATATTGCTATGTTTACAGCTGCAGGGTTAACCCTAGATGGACCTGGCACCCATTGAGCTGAAGTGGTCTGGGTGCCTATAGTGGTCCTTTAAATAATGTAAGAAAGCTTACATTTTTTAAATATTCTTTTTTTTTTTTTTTTACTCTCCTTAGCAGAAATAGAGAGCAATCAATAGGGGGTAGGGGAGGGAAACTGCAGTTCTAATAATTAAAAGGACAGAAGAAGCAACATATTTTTTCAAAAAGACTCAAAAGTGTTTTTTTTTTAAGTTAAAAACCACACGAGCTCAACAGGAAAAAAAAATGAAGTTTTATTTTTTTATTTTTTTTATATTGCAACAATAATTGGTGGAACGCAAGCCTCCACTGTAATGTACAGTTTGAGCATGTTGGTGAGCGTGACAATGTATGTGTTTTTATAGTTGCAGTGCTATTGTGAAATTTCAAAATATAACAGTATATCTGATGTAAGTGCTGATTTATTGTCACTAAATCAAAGAGGTCTTTTCTTGCAGATTAGCATGGCCAGATCTGAGCTTCCTATTTTTATTTTTTATTTTTGTTTGTCACATGTCTTCATGATTTGCATCAAGTGATTGATTACAAAACTAATACAGTTCACATGGCACATGATCCACTCTAAGTGACTTAGGTAATTTCCAACCACGCTCTTCATTGAAATGGTTTGCTCTCTACCCTCCTTGTATAAGAACGTGGACTGAAATGGTAGCAGCTTCTCTGAAAACCATAATGGAATTAAAAAATGATAAAAGATTTTGGGCTGTTTTAATCCCAAAAACCTAAATAGATCATGTAATTCCCCACTCATATGCAAAATTTTCATTATAAATTCTTAAAACAGACCAAGACACGTGGGCTTGTAAATCCGTAAGGAAGAGGTCCATAAAAAATAATCTATTCTCATAAACAGTAATCCATTTTTATTGGTTCACAGTTGGAATAGAGAAAGAATTTTTAACCGCCACTCAAATTATAAGCAATGAATCACATGCTGCTGTCCCTTCCTGTTGTCCTATTGTCTTCTGTTAACTGGCTTTTCCATTTATTTTTTTGATCAGTTGAATATATTATTTATATTTGAACTTTATTTTACTTGCCCAATGAGTAATCTATTTATTGAAATTAAGTAAATGTTTTTTTAATATGTTAAATTAATATATAGGGGATTTGAGAATGGTGTTATTATTTTTTTAAACATAAAAATGTTTACCAATGGGGCAGGGCCAAGCCAGCAAGCTGAGATGATGCACGAAAGCTGGTCTCCTGCTCTACTTGCTGATATTTTACAAACAATCACCAAACTTGAGAAATCAAACAAGCTGGGGTGCACTGCCTATGTCAGGGGTGACCTGGTGATCAGCCCGATATCTGAATCGAGTGCGTTGGTGAACGAGAGCCGAAGTTGGAAAGCTGTGGCCTACTGATGGCGGAACCGGGGAGAGACGGCCGCTCTCCTCGCCGAAACATTGGAGGTACAGACCCACTGATGCCCTGCTGCCCCCCCCTGGACCGGCGGGGGTTATCCCGATCCAGCCCTGAGGGGCAATCTCCCTGCCCGAGCCTCTGGGCTAGAATCTGATGAGCAGCAAGCAGCGGCACAGCCAGGCAAAATGGCCGCCGCCACATGTACTCGAGACATAGAGAAAAACGACCTCGAAGCCAAGCTGGATGAGCTATTCGCCAGGTTTTGGAGAAGGATAATAATCCGGGAGCTTCAGGCCAAGGCACACAAGGTCGCCACCACGGTGCCGGTGAACCCCCAGCATGAGCGCACACCTCCACCTGTTATCAAAGCATGCAAACTGCGCCGGGGACGGCAAAATAGAGGATCCCGAAAGCCCAAGAGTCTACTACTGCTAATGGCGGCAACCCACCCACACCAGCACCAGGCGAAACGAGACCTACCTGGGAAACAGCTGCGGCACACTGTGTCAATCCAGGACTGGTCACGACCAAGGGATCCCAGGCAGACTGCACCACAACTCCTCAGCCAACACCAGCAAGCAGCCTACCCTCGCCCGGGTAGATCCTGGAGGAGACACCACTGCCGGCAGTACACTGCCTCACATGGCCTCACACATGCTAGCAGGTCCGCCCCATGGGGCTCAGATCTCGCTGTTATGAAGACCTCCTGCATTGTACGGATCGGTTGGATACACCATAGCAGGGTAGCAGAGCAACTGGAACCCAGCGCAAGACCGCCAAGCGGCATTGGATGACTTAGCCTGGCATCACCAAGGAGCACAGAGCCCTGTGCTCCGTTTTTCTATTTTTTTTCCTTCATTTTTTCAATTTTACATTAGCCCACCGTTGATTGTCTTTAACCTGCATCAATGAACTGCCTAATTATTATCGTTATTATTTGACTGCCTATGCCTCATCTAAAAACCCAATGGTAGAACATCATATGCACCTAAGCAAATGTCACACACAGCATGCCGACTAGCAGACACATTCACACTGATAATGCTTGCAACTAACATACACCGTGCTTCATGCTCGTTAACCATCCAACTCCCTGGATAATCTTATACACTACACATATGGCCTAAGGCAACTGACACTATTATCCAAAAGTAAAAAAGTAAAAAACAAGACCTTACAATTGAAGGTGACCTTGTTGACCTTTTGTTTTTTACTTTTTTTGTGCACTTTATAAATAAAGCACTTTAACTACTTATACCTATCTGCGAGAGGACATTGGATTATTTACCACCTCCTGGCAGTATAAAGAAGGTAGTGGGATCCTTTATCACACAACGCTGGAAGATTGAGCCTTAGTATATAGGCTCTTGTTTTGTAATATCAACATTTGCTTTAAACAAGAAGATACTCCACCCTATATTGTATGTAAACTTTGTTTGATGTGAGGGCGAAGGGTACTCACTAAGGTGTACTGAGAATCTCTTGTTTTATTTCTTTATGTATGTGTTCCACTGGTAATACTGTATTCTTTTGATGTTTCTGTTATGAAAATGCTTATAAAGACTTGAATCTCAGTGAAATTCCAACACAGCCCACAAATATCATTGGAGAAAGTATGGACTATTTTGTCTTGAGCATTTTTTTACATGAAAAAGTTTGACAAAGCCACTACTGTCAAACTTTGCCAAGCCCCCGGCCATCACTACAGATGACTGATGGGAAAAAGGATCTCGTCAATGGTGGATCCTGAGGTTTTGTGAAATTCTCCATAGAAATTGGTTGTTTCACTGTCCCACATGCACGAAAGTACATGCAGATGTCGGCTCCTGGTGGGTGAAGCACTAGCGAGGACAGATATTTCATATTTTTCCGTTGGCTCATTTAGAAAAGTTCCTATATAGAGGCAACCTAGGACTTTGGTGGAAACACAAGGAAATATTTTGTTGTTAACAAAGGGAGATTCGGGTCCAGGCAAGGGAATGCAAATCGGCTGTAAACTAACCCTTCTTCCCTCAAGATGGCGTCAACATGTTGCTGAAGCTGGGAGGGTGTTATGGCAAGGCACCAGTGCACATCTTCCTGAATTCTGGTCTAATTCTGGCCTTGGTGGACTTATGTGTGCAATGCCGGTGGTCCTGTAGATTGGGTATCGGCTGATTCTATGCCACTTTGGGGGCTTTTCCAGCTATATATTGTGGGCAATGGGGGTGTCTCCTGTGAAATATCTTTTAAGCTACTCCTATTTGCATTAACGGCAATTGAACTTACTATATGCTCATATACTCTGCTTTCTTTATTCTATAGTTCTGAATACCTAGCACTGTGTTACTTTCGACTTATAACAAATCGTCTGTTTTTTTCTATGACTATGCTAAATGATTGACATGTCTCTTTAAAATGCTGAGGTTCTGTGGTTGTTATGATGTCCTGAACTTAACTTTGCACATCAAAAATAAAAAAGTACAAAAAATAAAGAAATCAGTCTGTGCAAATAAGAAACGTTGTACTTGTTATAAATTATGTTTTAGTTGCTTAAATTGTTATTAGTAAGTCAATTAAAATTTTTAAGAACCCCCCTAGACTCAACTCCACTCCCACCCCTAAAATGTAAGTGCCCCTATTTATTCATTTAAAATGTTAGGACTTGGGAGGTATACACAGCATTGGAAAACAGTGCATTGGATAAAAAGTGGCAATTCTGATTATGTCACCAAGTAGACAGATCAAGGTAATCAGGGGGGGCAAGCTACCTAAATTGTGGATTAAACACTATAGGGTCAGGAAATACATATTTGTGTTCCTGACACTATAGTGTTCCTTTAAAGTCAGTTATTGGTAAGTACAGCAAGACTTTCAACATTTTAAAAAATATTTTTATTTTTTACTAGCATTAATTATCCAAAAACAAAAGAGATACACCTAAAGTGAAAAAGAAGGGGGAGATCCCTCGCTATATCTTTTTAAGATCACACCAGTGAATTTGCGAAAATATACAGTTGCAAGAAAAAGTATGTGAACCCTTTGGAATGAAATGGATTTCTGCACAAATTGGTCATAAAATATGATCTGATCATCATCTAAGTCACAACAATAGACAATCACAGTCTGCTAAAACTAATAACACACAAAGAATGAAATGTTGCCATATTTTATTGAACACACCATGTAAACATTCACAGTGCAGGTGGAAAAAGTATGTGAACCCTTGGATTTAATAACTTGGATTTAATAACTCACATACCTGTCCCTTGCTCTCTCCTAAAGGGAAGCACTCTACTCTCTCCTCCACCTCTGCTTCACTCCTACCTTATTTGATGGCTATCTCCTGTCCTTTTGACTGTTAGACATGTGCAATTCGTTTCGGGCAATTCGGACATTCGGGTACTACCGAATGTCCGAATAGATGAATTGACGAATTGACGAAGTTCCGAAGTTGACGAAGTGTCGAAGTGCTGAAGTGCCGAAGTTCTGAAGCACAGTATTGCCTAAGAACTAATATACTTACCCAGTGAAAGAATGAAGAATGTTATACTGTATACAATTTTAAATAAAAAGTATACAAACATAGCCAGGATTCAGCTGTAAGCATTTGTAACACTTGCAACAATCAAGGAACACATTCATATAAAATGTAAGTTACTTAGCCAGTCAATGTAATGACAAGAATGAATAAGTAAATAACTCCCTAATTCCCACGGTATTAGGGAGCTTTCTACTAAAAGGCTGAAAGACCTAAATTGGTCTTTCAGCCAAATCTACTAATATTAAGTAAAGATTACTTAGTATTAGTAAATTATGCCCCTACTCACTATACCGCGAGTAGGGGCATGTCTATTAAACAGTGAGCAGCAGCCTGTGGCTGCTCACTTTAAAAAAACAAACATAAAAACGTCCCCCACTCACGAGACCCCCTGTGCTGGGCAAGTGGGGGCTTCTAACCTGTAGGGGGGGCGGCCCTAAAGTAAAATAAGGGGGGGACCTATTGTCCTCCCCCGGCCCCCACCCATGAGTGGCGGGTGGGGACCCTAAAGTGTTGAGCTAAGTGCCAAACTGAACCGAACCGAATTGCCGAAGTCCCGAATTTCAGAATGCCGAACTGAAAATTTTCCCCATGAACATGTCTATTGACTGTCCCACCTCCTCTAGGCTGTAAGCTCATTTGGGGCAGGGTCCTCCTCAACCTATTGTTCCTGTACATTTTTGTAATTGTTAAATCTCACCTTCTCATATTGTAAAGTTCTACGGAATATGCTGGCGCTTTATAAATATCAATAATAATATATATGTATAATATAATATAATAAGAATGCATCTGGGTGAGGGACAATAAACATATTGTCAGCATTGGCCATATTTTTTGTGTTAAGTCTCTCCAGACTGGAACCTGCAAATATTGCATTAAATAATAAGGATCAAGTCCAGCCTGGAGCAGCATTGTAATGTCATATTTACGATAATGAATTGTAATAAAAACAAACAGTTAGATTACATATACCGAGATAGTGAAATAGTGGTTTGCAAAACGTTTTAATTTAGTATTTATAGTTAACTAATATTATAAATATGTCCGTCAGCAAATACAAATAAATTATTTAAACACTGGGTACTTTATTTGAAGAAACCCAAACTATCTTTACTTCAGGGTCTCCACCCAAACGTTTGCGATATTTTTTTTTTTTAATGTTTTTGTAATATTTGAAGTTTATTGTAAATGTGAGGTATACCACATTACATACAGAGAATTTCAAAATTAGGCACAATTGTAAGTAAACATATGTATCAGGAAGAGGTATAAACATTTTCACAGAGGAGAGGTCCAAAATGGTAAATACAAATGTTGTCTGTGATATGAGGACAGCCATCAAAGCCAGTAGTACCAGACTGAAATATATGTCTTGCTGTTACCTGCGGCCGACAGTATCAGATCTTCAATCAAACATATATTTTATACTCTTTTAATCCAATCCCTATAGGGATAATCCTGAGCAGAACCCTGGAATATGCTCTCCTTCCAGAACCCTGGAATAATATTGTGGGCAGCATATATAAAGTACTGTTTTCCTGTATTTTTTACATGGAATAGGAAGGGTTGTAGTGGGTATAGTCCCATTGTAAAGATTATATGGATGTCTGTGAGTGTTTTGAGAGTCACATGCCTGTTTTTCCAAAAGGGTTATATGACGGGGCATGACATTTAAATATGAAATAGGGTGCCAAGCTCCCATTTACATCTCTAGCATTCCATGTCACATCCCGCTGAGAAAATGGCTGGCTTGTCTGATGTTTTGTGCCAGTGAGATAGCATCTTCTAACCAGATTCTTGGTACCTAATGCTGATGGCGGATTTGTGAGTGAGGAAGAAATGTAGAGAAGGAGTGGCCCAAGTCTTTCTCCAAGTATTTTGTGAAGTAAGGTAGATGTGAATCAATAGAGCGGTCAAGATCATATACAGTTGTGTTATAGCATGGACTGAAGGTATTGCCTGAGTGCATAAGGACTTGAAGAAAGTCAGTTGTTGATTGTCAGTCTTGAGTTTTGGTACATGTGAAAAGAAGTGTGCTAACTGGTAATATCTGAACCTGGGTAGAAGTCTAGGAAGTTGTAATATGTTGAGGTCTGTTAATATAAGGTGTCTACCGTTGGTGTAAGCATCTTGCATCTTTTACTTGAAGGAGATAGGGCAATCCTAAAGAGGTTACAAATTATTTGGAGAAAGCCAGAGAGAAGGTCAGTAGGAACAGCGGAGATAAAAGGAAAGAGAGGCTACAAGATCCAAGCGTCCATATCCAAATGG